CGGCCGCGGGGCCTGGCCTCTCCTGCGAGGGGGATTTGCAAACCCAAGGGCATCCCGAGCCCCGGTGCCGGGCATCCGCATCCCGAGGGCGCCTGGGGCTTTTCCAGGCCAAGAAGACTGCTCATCCTGCTTAGCGCTAATTAGCGCTGCGTCTTAATTAAATCCTCCCCGCAAACAGCCCCAGGGGAGGAATTAAGCGCATTACCCAGGGCAGCCTTTCCCCGCTCCCAGCGGGATCTGCCGCCTGCCCCGGCACCTGCTCGGACCTTCCTTAACAGGCTCCACAGCCAAGGCAGGAATTGGAGCCCGGACGCCTGGGCCCACAAAGGCATTGGGTGATGTGCAGTCACCGTGCCAGAAGTGATGGAATCCACAGCTTGCTTTTTAATGCTGCTCCTTTCCAGGGAGCTGGCGACACGCAGGAACCCTTCGCTGATTGACGGTTGGATTTCTCTCCCTGCTACCTTAGTCCGGAGTCTCCCGAGGCCACAGATCCATAAGGGATGCAGTCAAACGCATCCCTTAAAGAGCAGTTCAAGCCTCGTTTGGGAATGGCACGGGCTGGAGCGTGCTGCAGACTCAGCGCAAACGCTGCATGTTGGCTCCATGTGTTTCCACTCCCGGAGCACCATGACGTAGCGCTGGCCCTGCCACGGATCCGCTTCCAGCCCGAGCCACCGGCACCGGCCACGGAACAGCCTCGGTTGGAGCGGATTAACCAGGAGCAGGATTAGCACCCTGCAAATTCCTCCGGGATTTCACCCAGCCGCCTTGCAAAACGGCACGAGGGACGGTCCTGGAGGAAGGGAGCTAGGAAAGCACAGATTCCTTTGGAACTTATGGCAAAATAAACGCAAAACTGGAAAAAAAATGTTTTAAGCTAACAAAAGAGCATTCGATTTCATAGAGCTGCAGGGAAACCAAAGCGTTTCCTTACGAAAATACCATTTTGGCATGGAAAAACGCCAACCCTGCTGCAAAGAGCCCCCCTTGCCGGGAGCCACGGCCCCGCAGGGCGAGCGCGGAGCCCCCGCGGTGCCACTGCCCGGGCGGGCGCCGAGGGCCCCGCGTCTGCCAAAAAGGGCTTTTAATTTATCCGCAGCCGTTTATTTAATATTTGTGCTGCTGGGCAGAGCCGCAGCACGGCTGGCGGGGAGCCAGCGTGTGAGCAGGGCTGCAGTTAGAGCGAGAACAGCCCGGTTGCCCTTCCTCCTGCTCCATTTGATATTATTATTATGCACCATTTTTAAGGGAAAAACTTCCCGAATGATCCCCCGAGCTCAGGGGAACCCGGCCTGCACGGTGCCCGAGGGAGGCCGTCCCGACGCGCGGGGATGGGGGATGCATCCCGCCACG